CAGGGTCAGGGTAATGTAAAGGAGAGAGAGGAGATGTACTTGAACCTGTATATGAGGAGGATGAAGGTAGTGGAGGCGGAGCACGAGGGCGGCGAGTATACACCTGCAAAAGGGGTGAGGAAACCACAAAAGTAGACTCTTCTTGAAAAATAGGAAGAGGACGAGCAAGAGGAGAAGCCTCTTGATCGGGAGTAAAAGTTTCGTGCAAGATAGTGTTAGAACCATAAAAGGGGTATGCTCATGAAAGGTGACATCAAGAGAGTGATACATGTGTTTGTGTAAAGGATCATAACACTGGTAACCTTTTAACATTAAAGAGTATCATAAAAAGATACATTTAATGGCCTTGTCATCAAGTTTAGTATGAGAAGGGCAACGATTCTGAACAAAACATGTACATCCAAACACTCGAGGTATGATGGAAGAAAGAGTAATATCAGGCTGAAGAACTTGTAAGGGGCCTTACCGTTTAATACTCTACTAGGGGTACGATTAATGAGAAAAGTAGCTGTAAGAACCGCCACATGCTAGTATGACTTTGGCACATTCACACCACTTAAAAGACATCGAACAACTGACATTAGTTGGCGGTTTTTATGCTCTGCCACACCATTCTGTTAAGGGGTATATCGAAAAGTAAGTTGATGAAGAATACCCTATTGGTTAAGTTGAGACCGAAACTCGTACCATTGTCAGACCTAATATTCCTAACAACAGTTTTATATTGAGTTTTGATCATTTAGAGAAATTGAGTGAACAAGGGAAAAACTTCAGATTTCTTTTTAAGTAAATATACCTATGTGCAGCGGGAATAATCATTAATGAATGTGACATAATAACAATGCCCCGAAAAAGCAGTAACAGGAGAAGGACCCTACACATCAGAATGTATGAGATCAAACATACTAGTTGCACGATGCATATGAGAAATATAACTGGTTCTATTATGTTTAAAAAGCTTACAAATTTCACATTGAAACTTATTATCCTTACAAGCCGTTATTAATGAAGGGAAAAACAGACATAAATACTGAAAGTTTACATGCCTAAGGCGAGCATGCCATAAATTTAAAGTCTGAAAAGAAAAATCATAAGACCTAAAAACTGGAAGAACAGAGGCTTGAGGCAAGTGGAGGATCCCTAAAGTAGTAGAGGCCATCGTGCTCATATCCCCTACCAAAAATCCTCTTCGAACACAGGTCTTGTAAAACATAGTAATGAGGAAAGAAAATCACTGCACAGTTTAGTGATTTGGCAAGTTTGCTAACAGATTGAAGATTAAATGCAAAGTTAGGAACATGAAGAACAGATGGCAAAATAATATCAGGGGATAGATGAACATCTCCTTTACTACGAATAATGGTGGTTGACCCATCGGCTAGACTAACAGTATGATTAACAGGGGTAACGGGAGTAGAATATAATGACAACTCAACAGTCATGTGATCATTGGCTCCGGAATCCAGAACCCAAGTACGTTTTCCCGCTTTAACATGAAAAGCTGAAGGAGTACCTGTAGCTATAGTAGCCGTGGGAATAGAAGAGCTAGCCCTGGTAGATAAAGCTCCGAACTGCTCCTGAAGCTGACCAATCTGGGACTTAACTGATTGAAGTCCTAAAAAGATGGTCTTGGAGGAGTTGAAGCAGGAGGGACAATCCGTGGACTAGTATACCCACCAATAGTATCGGCTATTGCAACAGTGTGGCTACGGCCAGAAGAATGATTACGAGAAATTTTTTGCTTTAGCTCGAGATGAAGCTTAAAGCAACGATCCTTTACATGACCCGTGGCTCCACAATGTTGACAAATAACCTTTCCCTTTGAAAGTCTAGAAGTAGCAGAAAGAGCCATTTGATCAACTGGAGTCTTTGGTAAAGCTATTGGCTGAGAAATCTTACGTCTATGCTCCTCATGGTTAGCAGTAGCGAAGGCATCATATAAATCAGGTATAGGAGAGGTGTTTATGATTTGAGTTCTAAGAGCATCATACTCAGATCGTAAACCAATAAAAACTGGTAGGTATGCTAGCGGTCCAGTCTCTTGACCAAAAGATTTTCAGCTTCTTCAGAGAAATCGAAGAAGGGTTCATACTGTGCTAATTCTTCTCACCTAGACTGGAGGTACCCAAAATACTCTGATACTGACAACTTGAGTGTCTCTTGAGATGCATGAGCAATCTTCTGATAGAGTTTAAAGATACGAGCATCATTGCGGGAATGGGCATACATCTTGTTAAGGCTTTACCATGGACGAAAAACGGATGTGTGAAATATGAACATATTATAGATACGCTCCTCCATTGAGTTGAAGATCCAACCTAGAATGGTGCACCTGTCCATATCCCATGCAATATATTTAGTATCCGTCTTTTCCAGTTCCTTGACTAAACCCAAAAGCCAACCAGTTTTCCCTTTCCCTCCAATATAGAGTTGAAGAGAACAGGACCAAGATACGAAGTTGCGCCTATTCAAGAGCACACTAGTAACCCGCTGTGCCGGAGTATGATGTGCCGAAGATAAAGTATGTTGGACTGAGGATAAAGTGTCCTTTTGGCTACTAGAATCAGTCATAGTACTAAAATAAGGCTGGTCCACAAGTTAAAGTAGAAGGAAAGAGAAAAAAATAAGGCCGGAAAGCTTTCCTCCAAATATGCTGCCGAACAAACACTGGCCGCCCACAAAGAAAAAAATCATCAGAAGGACCCTTAGGTCATAAAAAACCTAAGGGAATTCTCCTAAAAAAGGAGTAAAAAACATAGGGTTACCTGAGGGGTCCGGCACAAGGGCTGGAAGGAGATGGAGGTGCGCCAGATGTGAGGGAAAATGGAGAGAGGGAGAGAGAAGGTGGCGGCGTTGGGGAGGAAGATGGGAAGGCGAAGGTTTTTGTTTTGCTCTGATACCAAAAAGAAGAAGTTTTGGGTTTTGGCTTACACAAACCGAGAGCCAAGAGTTATATTTATATACAAGAATAGGGTATAAAGAAAGGAAACCAAATCAAAGAAAACAAGAAATATGCCAAAATCTACGTGATCCCATGATTATGGGGATCTTATCTATGTGATCCCATGATTACGGAGATTTTATCTACGTGATCCTATGATAATAGGGATCTTACATAAAACACCTAATAAAAGGCTGAAAATAGCTAATAAAAATAAAAATAATAATAGTAATAATACATATATTTCAACAATATTAAACACATGTTACAATATGTAATGAACAAAAACGTAACTATAATGACATGATAGAAGATTAATATTATATATAATATAATATATGTGTTTTTATATTCGAATAGTTTTATCTTCTTACTGATGTAACTTTAATATAGAAATAATAAATTAATTAAAGTTCTATAATTGTCTTATTGATTGATATAACTGAAAATTTATATTTATATTAGCTATGTTCACGCTGTGTCCATGTTCTACTTATTAGAATTTGACGTGTTGGTGCATTCGTGACGTATCATGTCCATGTCCATGCTTCTTAGGTGGGTAGAGTTAGTAAGGACAAATATGATAACATATGGTTTGATAGAGATCCCATCCATATGGGATAAAGGCAAGGATGATGATGATGATGGTTTGGCAGAGACCATGGCCTTAGATGGAGTGGAATGGAAAAATACGATTCATTTAGCTGACACAAGTAGTTGGAAAATTGTCTTTGGTTGTCTTAATCTACAGAGTGCCCAATAGACAACAGTGACAGTAGACACTTCCAGTCTTTTACTAATGAGAGAAAATATGTTAAATCCTTAAAATATTTGCAATTGGAGAGAGAGAGAGAGCATGATAATTTAGAGGGTTGACTCTTAATTGACAGGTTGAATACAGGTGTAACCAGTGGCCGTTGCTCGCCAAAACGTACATTTTTTTTTTTTTTTTTCCTATTCCTTCTTCCAATTCTTTAGGACCCAAGGGAAACGATATAATAGGAAAATGATGCTAGGGACTAAGCCTCTGAGTCTTCTGCCTTTTCAGTTCTTTTAACATATATGCTGTCATTTCTTTACTACCATACAAAATGCAGCCCAAATTTTGCACATATCATATGTGTTGTATAGTATTGTATGAGTTGTCATGTTGTACAGTATGAGTTGTCACACGTGTACAGTTAGTATTGTATGAGTTGTCACACGTGTACAGTTAGTATTGTATGAGTTGTCACTCACCTACTCCCGTAGCTTCTCCTATATCAACACCATTGATTATTGTATTACTTGCTCAATAACATATACATTTTCATATATTCTGTTTCTCTCTCTCTCTCTCTCTCAACAATATGGATTTAGATTAAAAATGCTTTCTTTACGATTCTTTATATACCACATGGAAAATGGAAGTAGTTTTCAGAAGTATGTACATATATATTATACGAATTGCACAGGAGGGAATGCCCTCTCTTTATCCATTGCACTGATTGTTTTATCTTTCAGTGGAATCATCTCATTTATGAAAAAAAAAATATATATTTATTATATGCAAATTTGCCAACAATGATAAATACTGAATTGCTTGGCGCTCTCTGGAATATTCATAACTGGATTTTCTGTCAACTGGATTTTGAGTTCATGAATGCCCTCTGGCAGTCCTCATAGATGATTTTGATGGGGATATTTTTTTTTTGTATACAGACATAATGAAACTACGAAAACATGCCCAGCAATTATATAATTATATTTATCCCTGTGAGCTGAGAACATACTTTGTGGCAAAGAGAATTATGGCTGCAAGTTTTCTTTCTTTGTTTACTTTTCACTTTATGCTTCATTAAACCAGGTGTTCAAATGGTTTTGACCTTGCTGTGTATGCTTACCTTTATGGACACATAGACATGCCGGATGTATATAAGTGGATAACCTGGTAGTAAACATGTCGCCTTTTCTATCATTCAAATTAGTCTTTATTTACCTTCCTCATTAAAGGTTGCACTGGTTTTTTGCTGTAAATGGATAAAGTTGGTGAATTTGGTAAACTGTATGCTTATTTCAGACCAAGATTGTGTATAATATTCCTTTCTCTGAGGATGAGCGTCAAAATATTAAACTCATGATTCAGAGCAATTTGTATGGTTATCTTGGCATACTGCTTGAGGGGCGTGAACAATTTGAGGAAGACTGGTTTAATGAAATGAGGAAAAAGCATATTGATCAATCTGATCCTTCAGGTACAAAATAAAGTTGAATTTTATCAATTTTATTTCCATTCAACTTCAAGATGGTGTTGTTTCTTCAATCTATATAGGAAAAATGTGGTAAAATTTGTATGAAATGTTCCTAACATCACATCAAACTTGAAATTATCATTTTCTTTTTCTCTGTTTTTCTTTTTTCTAGTAGGTCTCTCTCTCTCTATATATATTTATTACAGGAGATGAAAACTTTAATATATCATTTAGTTGTATGGATTCTTCCAATTATCAATTATCATAAATCCAATTCACAGATTGTAACTCAGTCTTTTTCACTTTCATGGTCGAGGACTTTTAGTATCCCTGTACTTGAAGTCATATAAGCTGAAATTTATGAATCATTGATAGTTTGCATGCTATTTGTACATTAGCAACATGTCTCATGATCCCATAACCTCATATAAGCTTAAGAAATGATAAGTATTTCTAATCCAATTATTATTACTATTTTATTTTATTTTATTTTTTCCAATAAAGGAACGGCAGATAGTAATCAACTTTGGTAAATGAGTAGTCAATTGGGAGTAACAAAATTTCAGTCTAATTGTTTTTTAGTGCTAAGTTGGGAGATCTTAGAGTCAACTGAATGCCTAAGGCCAAAGATTGCTTCTTTTTGTGATTAGCTCAGGCTAATACTTGCTACCTGTGCTTTTTTGAAAGATTATAATCAAACAGTTAGCTATGTTTTTATCCAAGAGAAAAAGAGAAGGAAAAAGAAAAAATTGTTAACTGCATACGAACTATGTTCAGGTATAGTTAAGTGCATCTTGTTCTTAAAATCTTTTGGTGCTTCAGGCTTAAAAATCCTCAATATCATGTTATGTAAGATTTTGAGTATGTTTTGTACTATTAATTTCAAAGGTTTTCGCCGAACTATCAAAATCATACATAATTACATCCAGCATGAACATCTTGACAAATATGATATGTTGAAGAGATGCTGACTGTTGTTTGTTGGCAACAGGAAACTCCGGCCAAATTGACAAAAATAATATCTATGCCCTTACCCCTAAATTAACAGTATTCTCCGATTGGGTTATCCAAGTTATGCTGGCAGGCAATTTGGAAGTCGTTTTTCCAGCTGCTATTCGTGAATATGCACCGTTTGTTGAGGAATTGTGGAAGGATGGAGCTTTCCAAGCCACATATAATCGGAGAAATGAACTGAACATGCTACATGGAGCTGCTAATTATTTTTTAAATCGGGTGAGATCACACTTTCTGATCCTTCTTCACTGGTTTTAGAGTCCATTGGTTACGTCTTCTTATTTTTAACCCCCAATCCCTCCCCCCCCCCCCCCCCCAACAACACAACGTGCACACACACACACATAACAAAAGTACTTTAGCTGCCCATTGCTATTTAACTGACAGCTAAAGTTGAAGGTTGGGGCAGCTTTTGGTTATGTTGTTTAAAGATGAAATATGTTTATAGTCAGTCAACCTTCCAAAATTTTCGTTTTTATTGGATTTTTTTTAAATATAAAAGTAGGGTTATTTATTTGCCGCCCGCGGGGGGGGGGGGGGGGGGGGGGGGGGGGGCGTTGGTTGTTGATCATATCGATTACTGCTCCCAACCTGGAAGAAGGAAGGACCAATTAATAGATCCCATGATCTCCCAAAGTGGGAGGCAACTGGATATCGATAAGGATCTTAACTTTCGAATCTAAAATTTTTCAGATTCAATGAAGAGCAATTTTCTTACTTGCTAGTACTCATGTCTTATCAACTTATTTTCTTGGGAGAATGAAGATTTGGCTCTCAAAATGCATACTGGCAAATGCATAAAATGAAATGTGATTAATTTCTGATGCAGTCTTGCTAATTACAAGTCTTTTATATTTTTTTTTAACGAACTACTTTCATGTGAAGGCTGTTGATGTCTTAAGGGTGGATTATGAGCCCTCTGATACGGACATCCTGTATGCTGATGGTATCACTTCATCCAATGGGCTTGCTTCCATGGAGTTTACATTTCCTAAATCAACACAGGAGAGCTTCTTAGGCACCGCTGATCAGAATGATCCCTTGCTAAGGTTGGTTCTCATTTTTCATGCATTAATCATCCTATATGCAAACAAAAGATGCCTTACTCTTATTCGTCATTTGTTATATAATGAGACATGAAGGAGCCTTTCATTCATATTTCTGTTGTAGAATAGTGGATTGGTTTACTTAGGACGACTAAAGTCTCTGTAGTTTTTCCTCGCTGAGGTTGATCCACGTAAAAATCTGGTCTTTCTCTACTTTTCTCTATTTTTAGTTATTTGATTGTGTTGGTTGATTGATTGCATGCTAAATTTGCTAAAATTAAAAATAATCTAAAAATTAATCAAAGGAGCAAAGTGGACGTATTCACCCCCTTAGGTCTTCCTACTGAGATAAACTTCCACTCCACCTCTGCATGGCACAACTCACAATTTACATAATAATTGGTCCTTCTCTTAGTCAGCATCATAGGTAGTATCCTTTGTTGAATTAAGAAATCATCTTTTGAACTACCGAAAAATGAAGGTGTGACACACGGAAAAACTATATCTATATAAGAGGAATGAATTTTGCTAACCAAACAAAATAGACTTAGAACATGGCTCAGATGAGGATGTGAAGCATACGGTGACTGATTTCTGTGTCTGTTCGTGAGAAACCTAAGATAGGACACAGCTGTCCTTGCTTCTCTTCCTAACTATAAGATGATTGGAAATATATAGTGGAGATGAGAAAGGGATCAGAATTGGAGGAGAAACAGTACATAGGGTGGAGATGAGAGGGATCGAAATTGCAAAGGGGTGAAGAGCAGTTGAGATGACTTACTCTCACCCTACTCCCCCCTCTCCCCCTTCTCCTCTCTGTTTTTGTGTGTATAATTATCCTCTTCTTGAATACGAAAATACTTTCATGTTCTTGAAGTTTTCTATATTATTGTAATTTATGGTTTATTGACCGAAGCTATACATCCATAGATTTAGAACCAATGGCATGAGTCTATATTGTAATTTACCTCTTTTTTGATATTTTAAAAACTAAATAATGATCTCAACAATAGGAAATAAGAAGAGTTACTCAATACTAGAAGTATATAGTAAATTTATTTTTATCCTAAGATTTTCGCAGATGTTTTATTTCAAGCTTTTAATAATTTTATATCTCCATGTATTTGGCAATGGCCTATTGATATAACCAATGGATGCTTACAATTTCATGTTTCGTTCTTGCAGGTACCAACTCATTAGAGTGCACTCAAGCAGCCTTGGAGAAAGCTGCAAATGGCTGGAGATGTTTGAAGATGTTGACCTTGTCTTGTATTGTGTGGCTTTGACTGATTATGATGAATTCTGTGATGATGGTGGAGTTTCTACAAACAAAATGTTGGCGAGCAAGAAGCTCTTTGAAAGCATAGCAACTCATCCAACCCTTGATCAGAAGAACTTCCTTCTGATACTCAACAAGTTTGACCTGCTTAAGGAGAAGATTGAACGAGTTCCCCTCACTCAATGCGAATGGTTCCATGACTTCAATCCAGTGATGAGTGCTGCCGGTAATAATTCTTCGTTGGCTCAACATGCTTTCCACTATATTGCATTGAAGTTCAAAGGAATCTTCCGTTCCCTCACTGGACGCAACTTGTATGTTTCACCTGTTACGGCATTGGAGCCTGATAGTGTTGATGAAGCTCTTAGATATGCAAGAGAGATCTTGAATTGGGATGATGAGAAACCAAGCCATAGCAGAAACGAATGGTCTAGTGACAGCATTGAGGCAAGCTCCTCATCATGACTTTCCAATAGAAATGGCCTGCAAGTAAAGCCCTTTCTTTGGACATGGCTTTGCCTATTTCACCATATACAAATACATGTATATTCTATACTGACTTATTGACTATACACATCATGCAAACAAAAAGAAATTAAAGATGATAGTTTTATCTGCCAATGCAGATTTTGAGGACAGTTTTGTAACCATTTTCTTGGTCTTGAGACAGAAGAAGTAAGTTTTTTGGTCCTTCGATGCGAGCTTCTTGATCAGCAATGTCTCTTCCTTTGTGATGGACCTAGGGATGGCAATGGGGTGGTTTGGGGCGGGGATTTCATTCCTCATTCCCATTTAATTTTTTCACCCCCATAACCGCCCCAAAACTCGCCGGGTTTTTCAAAGCAGCCCCTGTCCCCATCCCCATTTTCATAATCGATTCCCCAAAAATCGTCCCAAATTGAAACGAAATGAGGGTTGGGGTTTCCAATTGTGTAACGGGCCAAGTGTTCTGTAATCCGATCTTTTCAAAGCAGCCCCCGTCCCCGTCCCCGTCCCCGTCCCCATTTTCATAATCGATTCCCCAAAAATCGTCCCAAATTGAAATGAAATGAGGGTTGGGGTTTCCAATTGTGTAACGGGCTAGGTGTTTTGTAATCCGATCCAAAAAGTTAAGCTATTTGGGGATGTTAACACTCAAGTATATATACCCAATCACTTTTTCATTTGGATTCAATGTGGAACAAGACCCTTTTAGGCAATGAATTGGTCATTGGTCATGTGATTAAAGTCCAATTATTATTCATTTCCATCAATAGGTGGTTTTAATTCTGAATTTGATTTAAGAAATTTCATTCTAACTAGATCAAAATTAAATTTACAGTTATTTGATACAATTATATATAAATATGTATATGTATGCGTATTGTATGGGATATTTTAATAATGGGTTAGTTGCAAACTAGCAAATAACTACTCCCTTTTGCACCATTGGATTCTTGTGGCCAACCTTCCTGTAAAATGAATTTTGCAAGAAATAATCCTTCGAAATATCTAAAAGTTGCAATCCACACCTTTAGTAAATGGATAATTCCATAAAAATGAAATTTTGTAGGTCAAAGGCCAAAAAGATGGAGTCAAACTTCTATTTTTCAAATAAATGAAGTTTTGTGAAATGCTGAGGTGGACATGGAAACTTATTACGAAATGACCCAGCTACCCTTTCTCTCTCTTCATCTCTCTTTGTGATTGTCTTTTCAGTCAAAGCTTCCTTTGCCTGTTTTTATAAATCTCTTCACACCTGAAAGTTTATGATGAACTGAGTCAAGAGCAACGATGATGGCGACGATGGAGTGCTCTTACCGACGACAAACAAGGATTGAACTTACCAGTGAGACGCGAGTCTGAGCCTGGTCTGGACGACGGCGGAGCAGCATGGTTGGGTCTAACAGCATGGGTGTGGTCGCATGAGATGTTGTCAGGGACAGTGATGGAGAGAGGGACGCACCATGTGTTTTTGATATGTTTGCAACAATTGGGTCGGTGGGCAGTGTGTATAGTTGTTTCACATTTTTATTTATACATATCCTGTTATTGTACGAACTATATTTATGAACTGCCATATATATCAGTATATGGATTTGATTTTGTTGATTTTTAATTGAATTCTGTAATTCATTTGTCATAATTTGATTTGTTTGTCAGATCTCTAAGAAACACACACTACTGGTGTTGAAAATGCAAAGAAGGTGAGGGGTTGGAAAATTAATAGATAGAAGAAAGTAACAGCACTATTTGTGTTTGTAATTTACTAATAAAAGCAAACATTTATAGAAAAACTGTTTCTATGGTATATGATCATATCCAAACTTAACAAACAGTACAACCCCTGTCGTTGCTTGTAATCCTTGCTTGTCGCCGGTAGGAACACTCCATCGTCGCCATCATCGTTGCTCTGGACTCGGTTTATCATAAACTTTCAGGTACGAAGAGATTTATAAAGACAGGCAAAAAAAGTTTTGACTGAAGGAGCAGACAATCACAAAGAGATATGAAGAGAGAGAAAGGGTGGTATTTTCGTAATAAGTTTCCGTGTTTACCTCAGTTTTTCATAAAACTCTATTTATTTGAAAAATGAAAGTTTCATTCCATCTTTTTGGCCTTTGACATACCTAACTTCATTTTTATGGAAAACTTCATTTTTATGGAATTATCCCTTTAGTAAATGGCAATATGAAATTACCAGAATTTTTATTTATTCGTTTATAAAAGAAATATGAAATTATCAGAATGACCTAATTTATTTTTGAAACTTAATTTTTTTTTTTTTAATAATATAAAAAGAATTGCCAACAAAGTAGAACTTTTACCAATGTAAGGAGTGTGGTTCTTATGGTAGAGAGCGCTCTCCTTTTGCATTTCTTCTGCAGTTGAATATACCATAAATAAAAATATATATATATATATATATATATATATATATATATATATCCATCATAGATCAAATTGACAGCTATTGCGGAAAATATGAACATTAGAATTACATGAAGTAGGAGAATAATTTACATAAGCTACTGATAAAATTAAAGCTCACATCACATTCTATAATGATCACAGAAATTATATCACTAATGACTAAACCAGTGCAAGAGTGATTAGTTTGGTCAAGGGCTAAAGCATTCAACAAGCATGGAAATGGAAGCATCGGAGCAGAGCAACACAGGCGAGTTGACTCGCATTACTTGGGTCAAGGTGGTTGACCACCCAAAAGAGCTCCTTTTTTCTTCCGGTTGAACCACCTGGCTAGACTCGGGAGCGGTGGGGCTCGATCCACTTGAGAGAATGGTTGGGCCCTTTTTGCGCAGCTTGGCCAGCTCATCAGTCCACATATCTATAATCCCAGACATGCCCACTCTTTTTCCTTCACTTGAGTAACAACTAACAAAGAGATACCAAAGAAGAGAGAAGATCTAGATGTGTTTTTGAGATAGTTGAAACTTGTTTGTTTTGAGATATGAAGCGTCACAGCAGCTCCTTATATATATATATATATATATATATTAATCGATAAGTCTATGTGCTATGAAATACAGAGGCATCATTGTTGGCTCTGTCACATTTTGTTGGCCCCCACAATAAAGTTCAAAAACCGAAGCAAGTTAGATATATCTTGGTAATAAAATAAAACAAAACCGTGTTCGGTGCATATGGTATAAGGCTTCCAAATACTTAAGAGAGTTAGGTTGGCATCCGGTTTTCCGGACAAAAAGGAGGGAAAAAATACCTAAAAATTGTTTTCGACATCATGTGTGAATGTTGTCACCCTTTATCATTTTAAATTTTTACTTTTGTCAATTTGTTTCAAAAAAGGGGGAGAAAATATAAGGATTGAGGGGGAGAAAATATTATTGAGGGGGAGTAATTTATAGCATGTTTAGTAAGCTTTCACTGGTAGTTAGGTGAAAAGGTTTCTAATGATGATCAAGAGCAGTTAGAAGATATTCAAGTAAAAAATTCTGTTTTTATTTATTTGACAAATTGTAATCTTTCTTTTTTTCTTGGGTAGGTTATAAATTTGTTTCTAAGGTTTTGGCACGAAATTTTCAAAGGGGGAGATTGTGAGATATAAAATTTGTAATCGGCGAATTTTGTTGTCAAAGCAAATTCGATCGAGTTGTAATTTTCAGTTCAAATTTCAAGTTCTAGATCGGAAGCGCAATTGAAGAGTTGTTCGTATTCGATAGCTTGATGACTTCGAAAAAGGTAAGAACAACACTTTAGGAAATTTAATTAGAAGATAAGAATACTTGCATGAATTGCATGCTTTCAAAATTGAGCGTTGCCAAAAAATTTCTAAGTGTTAAAACCTTTTGTTCTAGTTTGGCCAATTTGAACCGGTGCTTTTGAACCAGTTCAAGTACCAACTTGAACCGGTTCAAGAGCTTCTGAACCGGTTCAAGTCCTACAACAATTTTTGGTAACTTGTTTCTTATTTTGTTTCAACTTCCTATTTTGTATATACTTTTACCTTAATGGTTATGCACAAAATTGATTTGTTTTTCAAGTACAATTAGGATTTCTAAAGTCTATAAAAATATAATTTTCTCACTTAGGTTCATACGGCCTTTTGCATTGAAAATTCTGATTTTCATTGAGAGCCTTTTGTGAGATTTCTAAGAACGTACACACTATACACACACGACTGAATTAGGGTGTTGTTCAATTCCTAATCAAATCTTATTCCTTTTACAACAAATTAAGATTTGAACTTATGGAGTGTTGTTGATCAACCAACAATCCTTTTACAAGGTTTGAGACATAAGTCTGAAGTTGAGAGCTGTTGGACGAGAAGTCGCAAAGCCAGAGGGTTAAGCGGATTGAGTTTTGGTAGAATGAAGGAGTGTGAGCCTGAGTCAAAGTTAGTTATATTTTACTTCATACATAGTGGATCATTTTCCGCTCGAAACAACTTGAGATTTTCTAATCGGTTTCCTCGCTAAAATGCGGGGTACTCTAACTTTACTTATTATTTTGCTATATTATTGTGTTAATTAATCAGTAATTTTAGTTGAGTAAAATTGGATAAAGAAACGCATGATTAAATCCCTCAAAAATGATTTTGACATCGACTTTCCATCTCCTTGCACAACTCACAAAAGTATGTAATAAAATATATGTAAGAATTCACTCGTGAATTATTGCTATTTATTAAAGGATGTAATTCATTAATTTTTCTCTCTAAAAAAAGGAGAGGATTCAATTTATTATGGGAGTGAGTGTGTTTCATGCATGGGTTTAAATTAAATAAATAAATAAATAAATAAAAATAACCATTTTAAATTATCTGAGTTGACCACTAAAACCTTCGAACTTTTTCTTGCTCCAAAATGTCCAAGTGCAATTTTTCATCCAAATAGTTTTAAAAAATAAGCATATTGATAGATTACATAATGGTTAAATTACACTAACACACTTTAAGATTAGGCCAAAACTAAATTATATTTTAATTTTATGCTTAACCAATTTTAATAATATATCATAATACATAAGGGTAATTTAATAAATTTATAGTGTATTCGGGACGGGGTAGGGCAAACATAATCGGCTTTTTCAAAGCAACCTCCATCCCCGTTCCTATTTACATAATCGATTCCCCAAAATGACCCCTAAATTGGATGGGATAGGGCCACGCCGGAGAGGGGATTTTTGCCACCCCTAGATAGACCATTATGCATGTATAGATG